GGATCATTGTTGACAGTAATAGAAGCACTGGCTCCTGCTGGACACATTCTCGTTAATTCAGCTGCATATTCCCTATCGAGCGATGCATCGATGAGGTTGAATTTTCCGTTTGAGTCGAGTTTGAAACGATCACTAAACGAGCTGCAATGTGCTGATCCAATTGTATGAGCTCCTGCAAAACCACAAATCATATTGTGTAACCATAGATAATTAGGAAAAATAGTCCCAGAGAGACTTCAAGAGTCGAGTTAATTGTTCTAATGATCACTGAACTTAAGTCCATATCTTTGATTGACCACCGAAATTTAAAATATCGAGTTATGGCCACTGAATTTTGAAAAATGTCGAGTTTTGATCACTGAACTTAGGTCCATCTCTTTAATTGGTCACTGAAGTTTAAAATGTCGAATTTTAGTTACTGAACTTAGGCCAATGTCTTTGATTGCTCACTGAACTTAGGTCAATGTCTTAAATTGCTTACTGAAATTTGAAATGTAGAGTTTTGACCACTGAAATGTACAATATTTTTCAAAATTCAGTAAATAATGTACAATATTTTTTAAAGTTCATTAAGTAATATACAACATTGTTCAAAATTCAGTGGTTAAAACTCGACATTTTAAATTTTAGTGAACAATAAAAGACATGGACCTAAGTTAAGTGAGCCAAACTCGACATTTTTCAAAATTCAATGGCCAAAACTCGACCTTTTAAATTTCAGTGGTCAATCAAAGACACGAACATATGTTCAGTGACCAAAACTCGACATTTTAAAGTTCAGTGCCAATTAAAGATATGACCATATGTTCAGTGATCATTGGAACAATTAAATCTCAAGAGTCGAACCGATCACTAAGTCACGAGTCATTGACAAGTATATTTATAAATATATCTATTTATTAGTGGGGTTCGTTTTTAAGTTAAGAGCGTACCTGATAGGGTAACGAGATCGTCCATGGATAGGCCCTTAGAAGAAAAAATGTTAGCCATTTGATTCAATGTGAAACTTGTGTCTATTATATTTGGTCTAACATTTGCAGCCAAGGATACCCTTCCATCTCTTCTCCCTGTTGGAATCTGAATATTTGGTCCCCCTGTCTGTTTCAGGAAACCCATTAATAAGTACCACTTTTAAATAATGAAGCACAATAATAATAAAATGTCACATGGTAGCACGTAAATGTAGGGTGATTTTGCACTTTACGAGTTCCACAGCGTCTCTAGCGGCCAATGCGAGAATATCAGCACAAGAAACTACTCCTGGACAAAAGATTTCAAGAACTCTTTTTGCTGAATCTATTACTGAAAATGCTCCAAGTGATTTGTTAGCTGGATCACTTCTTTCAGTATCATTTCCTTGTAACAATATAGATGCATCACAGCCCTGTTACATAATCCCCTAGTGTTAGAAGAAGTTATGGATGTTCTTAGCATCCTAAAAAACTAAAACTTTAGTTTAAGTTATATGTAGTTTAAGCGTTTAGATCAAGTGGTTCCACACTGTAGTCTCTATTTGGAAACGTTTTGAAAAACGAAATACTTCAAAAACTCCGGTAAAATGCATATATGTAATTTGTAAAAGAAACAAATTAACATAAATATACAGTAAATGAAAACAATACTAACCTCTACAAAACAGTCATGGAAAAACAGACGAAGAAGCTTTCCAGGGGTAGTTGGATCCATAGAAGAGGCAGATCTCACTGTATTTTTCACCATAATTTCAGCAGACGGGCAAGAAACCGCATAAAAGTCAAAGGAGAGACCGGAGGAAGATCGAATAAAGCAAACTACAAAGAACGTAACAAAAATAAGTAGCTTATAATTATAAAATTTTTTATTAATACAAATTTTTCTTTTCTCCATATTTTTAGAAAGAACGAGTCCTCCACTCAAACTTTCTTCAGTCGATCTCTAAAAATATATATTTAGAGAGAGAGAAAGAGTAGAGTTAAGGCCATGTGTGGTTATTTAAAGCTGCATTTATTTTGTTATGGAAATGAATTGTGACAGTAGGAGACGGCCAGAAGATACTGTTCTTGTATAAATTATATTTATTTGAAAATATTGGATTAGATCAAGATGAATTAGGAGGGGTGAGGTAGGTGGCAGTTGGATGTAAGATTACTACTCTACCTCTTTATCTCTGTGTCAGAAACCAACATAAATACGAGCCCAGAATGCTTGTTTGAACTTTGTGCATGCAGAAAATAATGTTCCAAGAAGATCCATGTGAATGTTGCACATAATTGTTTGATAAATTATTTGTGAAATAAGAGCATCTCTAATGAGCTATGAGTTGCACCAAAATGGATATATATATATAATAAATTTATTATATCATCTCAAAATGCTTACATGATCAGGAACAATTTGGATATTTTCTTAGAAGGCATGCTAGATATAATCCGCTTAACTTTTTATAATTTATCCTCATTAGATGATGTGTCCATTTAATTTTTATATAATTTGTCTTTACTCTTTCTTAACAACCTCTCTTTTGTACTAATGATCGACAAATAGTGCTGTTCACACCTTGATATTCTTTCCTTCCCCGTTTCGCTTATCACATGTACAATTCACATTATTACATTGGACATGATCTGACAAGAAAGTTTGCAAAGACAATGGACCGCTACAAAGGTGGATTAGCTAAGACAAGCCGGATGGAATAACGGGAATAAGAATATCGAAAATTGGATCATCTTTTCAATTGAAATCTCAATCAAAGACAAGTTCTGCCAAGGCTAGATCTGAAAGAGAGGATTCACTTTCCAAAATTTTAAGTAACATGACCTTCAAAAGCTAAAGTTGAATAATAATCTGTCCAATACCACTCAACCTCCTTACTAAACACGTGACGAATCTTCAAACGTCTGACTTCTTTTATTTATCAAACCTTTCTGCTCCTCATAACCTCTGTGCTTCCTTAAAAAATTTGTTGTGTTCTTCGCAATTGCAGTCGAACAAATATGGATTCCAGTCAAGCACAATGCAGCACAAACCAAAAAGGTAGCTTTCCGCTGCCTCCCATAAATAAGAATTGAGAAGACATCTTTGTTATTCTTGCCAACATGCCACGAAAATTCTAAAGATTATACCTTGCTTTTCACCGCCATTTATGGTTGTGTGACTTGTGTCTAGATATATGAAGGATAGAAATTCCACCGACAATTATGTAGTCTTAGGAGATGTCAGCTAGTACGATGTGATGGATGAGTGGGAGGGAGAGTAATTAGTGATTGATTGAATGGAGAGAATTAGAGGTGGGAGAGTTAGCAGGAGCAAATTTGCATGAATGCTATCGACAAAGAATATTGTTATATAACACTAGTTTCATGGCATTATGTGACATGTTTAATTAAAGATGAAATTATGTAATTTATTTACTTGTACATTTCGTTTAATGACATTTAGTGTTACCTAAACTAATGCTTTAATATCACTGATATTAAATATCATTACTCTACCTATGTGGATTTGAAAGTTTAGTCTTCGATTTTATATTTCGTTGACTAATCCTTCCTAATTCATATATTTGTAGAAAGTTCTTTTGCAATTCCTTACATAAGAATTCAAAAAATATTGAATCCTCATCGAAATGGTTTCTCTATAACGAGTCATCCTTAATATCAAATAAATCATTTTCGTCTTTGGTAAATTTATCGACATTCAATACTAGTGCAGCCACTGTGATGGCATTTTCAATGGAAACCTTTATTGACATGCTGAATATATATGTTGAGAGACAATTTAAACGGATAAGTTTATTTTCATTGGAGCAACAAAGTTTCCAGGTCAATTCTTGACACAACATGTTTATGAAAATTGGGGACATCCTTAGCTTTTGATGAAAAATAACTTGGCCTTATGCGTGTTATAGAGCGTAATGAAGATATTATATAAATAAATTTGTTGCCTTAGTAATATCTTGAGTTGTTAGATGACGAGGTTCAACAATACCTGTTGCTAAAATCCTACGCATACAAGTACTGATCCCACTTTTTCTCAATTAAGAAGCCGAGGCAGTGCCAACAAATTAGATCTGCCGGAGAACGTTCAAGTATGGCTGGATCTCTTGGGAGTGAAGTTGTGCTGTGTCCAAAAGAATAAGGCATTCCATGCCCAACTTTGTCCATACATTCCTATACTCAGCCACCCATGATTCTGATGACTTCAAATTGATATAGAGTTCTCTTGTGGGGACTTTTTCTTTCATCAGAATCTCATTCTGATGCCCTTTTTATCTACATTTGTTTATTTACATTCGTCTTCAACAAAAGCTCTAGTAAACAAGGTTATATGAAATGTATTTAGCTAAGCAACAAAAATGAGTTTCTTTCTTCACATCATCTCTTCTTAATAAATGAGAAGACATCAACATTATTTGACAGTTTGACACATTACACCTTAGCGTCTTTTCGTTTGCTAAGATCACGCATGTGGTGAGGTGTCAAAAATGTATTGATGGACAACTAAGAAAAACAGCAAGTCCGCGACCAGGGGTGGACCCATTAAGGGACCAGTGGGGGCAACCGCCCCCACTGGATTTACAGTCACCAACGGCCAGGGAGGAAGCTTGAAGGTGAATGCCCAGGAGGAAATTGGAGGATGAAGAAAAATTAGGCCTGATCCACTGTAATATGCTGGCCACTTGGTTTAAATGTATGGGTTATCTTCAAGAATTAGGCCTGATTTTTTTAATGTATAATGCCTGTTTAATTAGTTTTATTATAAACAATAAAATGAAGTAGCCCATACAAGTGTATGTGTGCATAAATATTTTAGCCCATAATTTTCGTCTCACCCCCGCCCCCACTCAACCGCAATCCTGGGTCCACCCCTGTCCGCGACAACATGTCACGTAACTAGCGAGAGAGTGGATTGAATCACCTTGGCATGACAACCCACAACCACAAGTGCATAGACACAAACCAACAATTGCAAATAAGAAAATGAAACTGGACTAAGTTACCTATGGGGGCATCGATCTTCTTAATGCTGAAACTCCTTATTACCATCTCTATAAAAAACTACTTTCTAGTAAAAAACAGAGAGTCCCGAAGGTGCATCATCTGGCACATTTTTAGTCATATATGTAGTGGATACCAGTTTGGTGTCAAATCATAATCCACAATCATTACCTTCTGCTCCTTGGCTTCTTTTAGATGACCCCGAAACCACACTTTGATCAACATCTTGTTGAATAATCTCCTCTTCTGCAAGAACGTTGCACTTTTTCCACTCATTCTTAACTTGATTAGTAGTTTCACCACCATCAAATTTAAATTTCTTTGTGGGGATTCAAGAACTTTGCTTTTTGAGTTTTTGCTTTTGGAGTGTCTAGATATATGAAGGATAGAAATTCCACCGACAATTATGTAGTCTTAGGAGATGTCAGCTAGTACGATGTGATGGATGAGAGGGAGAGAGAGTAATTACTGATTGATTGAATGGAGAGAATTGGAGGTGGGAGAGTTAGCAGGAGCAAAGTTGCATGAATGCTATCGGCAAAGAATAATGTTATATAACACTGTTTCATGGCATTATGTGATATGTTTAATTAAAGATGAAATTATGTAATTTATTTACTTGTACATTTCGTTTAATGACATTTAATGTCACCTAAACTAATGCTTTAATATCACTGATATTAAATATCATTACTCTGCCTATGTGGATTTGAAAGTTTAGTCTTCGATTTTATATTTCGTTGACTAATCCTTCCTAATTCATATATTTGTTGAAAGTTCTTTTGCAATTCCTTACATAAGAATTCAAAAAATATTGAATCCTCATCGAAATGGTTCCTCTATAACGAGTCATTCTTAATATCAAATAAATCATTTTCGTCTTTGGTAAATTTATCTACATTCAATACTAGTGCAGCCACTGTGATGGCATTTTCCATGGAAACCTTTATAGCACTCTTGCATCCCCTTGCATTGATTGACATGCTGAATATATATGTTGAGAGACAATTTAAACGGATAAGTTCATTTTCATTGGAGCAACAAAGTTTCCAGGTCAATTCTTGACACAACATGTTTATGAAAATTGTGGACATCCTTAGCTTTTGATGAAAAATAACTTGGCCTTATGTGTGTTATAGAGCGTACTGAAGATATTATAGAAATAAATTTGTTGCCTCAACAACATCTTGAGTTGTTAGATGACGAGGTTCAACAATACCTGTTGCTAAAATCCTACGCATACAAGTACCGATCCCACTTTTTCCCAATTAAGAAGCCGAGGCAGTGGCAACAAATTAGATCTGCCGGAGAATGTTCAAGTATGGCCGGATCTCTTGGGAGTGAAGTTGTGCTGTGTCCAAAATAATAAGGCATCCCATGCCCAACTTTGTCCATACATTCCTATACTCAGCCACCCATGAGTCTGATGGCTTCAAATTGATATAGAGTTCTCTTGTGGGGACTTTTTCTTTCATCAGAATCTCATTCTGATGCCCTTTTTATCTACATTTGTTTATTTACATTCCTCTTCAACAAAAGCTCTAGGAAACAAGGTTATATGAAACATGTATTTAGCTAAGCAACAAAAATGAGTTTCTATCTTGTAGCACTCCTAAATTTATTTGAATACAATATGAGATTTATTTCTAATGACTTGGACTAGTCATACACCACCCCATAGTACGAAGGTATGGGTTTGTATCCATAATACAATTTTAATAACTCATCACATCATCTCTTCTTAATAAATGAGAAGACATCATCATTATTTGACAGTTTTGACACATAACACCTTAGCGTCTTTTCATTTGCTAAGATCACGACATGTGTCGAGGTGTCAAAATGTATTCGTGGACAACTAAGAAAAACAGCAAGTCCACGGCAACATGTCACGTAACTAGCGAGAGAGTGGATTGAATCACCTTGGCATGACAACCCACAACCACAAGTGCATAGACACAAACCAACAATTGCAAATAAGAAAATGAAACTGGACAAGTTACCTATGGGGGCATCGATCTTCATAATGCTGAAACTCCTCATTACCATCATTATAAAAAACTACTTTCTAGTAAAAAACAGAGAGTCCCAAAGGTGCATCATCTGGCACATTTTTAGTCATATATGTAGTGGATACCAGTTTGGTGTCAAATCATAATCCACAATCATTACCTTCTGCTCCTTGGCTTCTTTTAGATGACCCTGAAACCACACTTTGATCAACATCTTGTTCAATAATCTCCTCTTCTGCAAGAACATTGAACTTTTTCCACTCATTCTTAACTTGATTAGTAGTTTCACCACCATCAAATTTAAATTTCTTTGTGGGGATTCAAGAACTTTGCTTTTTGAGTTTTTTGCTTTTGGTTTTGCTATTTTGGGAGGGAAAATATGTAGAGAATTGAAAACTTAATTCTATACCACAAAGAAAAATAAAATTGCACAAGGAAAATAGGCACACAAGAGCACGGCTCACTTTAATGTGAAACTACATTCTCGTCCAATAACTCATAATGATGAAAAGAAGTTTACAAGAAAAAAAAATCAGACTTCCTATTTCTTTTCTCTCTCTCTCTCAAGTATGAAATTCCTAAATCATCCTTAATAAAATTTTGGTCCAGAGCTCCGCCCTCTGAAGGGGAGCTTCCTGCATCCAGTTTTTCCTTCCTTTATGTTTTATTATTAGAGGATAGGAAAGGAGAAAAATAGAAACATATACAAGCGAATAGTTCACATTAGTTGTACCATGTGTCCTCCCTTTCTTTCTATGACGTTTTCTTATTTGTTCTTCATCGAGATTTTGGAGTAGTTGATTGTGTTCTACATTCATAACAGAAACATATACACGAGAATGGTTCACATTATTTGGACCATGCGTCCTCCCTTTCTTTCCTTGATGTTCTCCTATTTGTTCTTGTTCATGATTTTGGAGTAGTTGCTTACATTCATAATAGGACAACAACAAATAAGTGAAGTGTGGGAGAGAAAAAAGAACTATAGAAATGAAGAAAAGATCTGGGAATGGGGAAGGGGTGAGGATGCACTGGGATGACAACACGATTGTAATGACCTTGCACGCCTCCCATTCCCATCGGAATTTTTGGAATGCAAGACGACTTGTGTTTTCCTTTCTTGCCTTGATCTTTTGATAGGATGAGGGCATTTTGTCATTCCTAATATGCAAAGTAGTGTTGGGTCAGGATACGAAAGACAATATCGAGTTATTAACACAATAAATTTGATTTTTAATAAAATTAAAATGAATGCTCAAATAGCTTTTCGAAATAATAGGAACAATAATGCTAAATGTATATTCTTTAATTCACATTGTTTTTCGCATTCCCTTTATTTTCAAAAAATTGTGGGCGAGAGAAGTGAATTTTTTTAATTTTTTTTTTTTAAACTGTCTGTGTTGTGAAAAGAATTTTGAAATGATGTCTATTATGTCAAAAACTTGGCAATAATCATCCGAATATTTTACCGTCTTCCTTTTGTCAGCCCGCCTGTCACTGAAACCCCCAGTATTCCGCTCTCCCAATTCAAATTCGAACAGAAAACACAGTCGGTGCGTGTAAATGGGACATCGGAATCTTGAAAATCAACAACACCAGGCAGTGGATGGGCTCCTAAACCTCTTCTCGAAAGCCAATCGCGACCTTTCCATGGTGTACAACAAACTCCAAAAGGAGTTCCAGCAAGTTTACCCCGACCATGTATTTTCTCTATTTTTTCACTATTTTCTTGACTAAATTCTTTATTTACGCTTTTTATGTAGTGGGCATTCTAATTTCTTCTTGCTTTTGTTTTTCCTTTAACGAAATTCATTTTTTTGAATCTGAACCTGAAATTCTTGTTGGGGTGCGTATTTCCATCCTTTCATTCTGATTCTGTATGGTTTTTACAGGCTAATCCCATGAAGCTTGTGACACGGTTGAAGAAAATTGAAGAGGAAATGTCATCTTTAAAGAACCAGTGTCGCGAGCTACTCACAGCCAAACAGGTATGCGTGCGCGAACACTCACTTACACACACACGAATTGATTTAGATGAGCTGATTGCAGATAGAAATTATATACAGTTTTCTTTTATATTCTTTGTTGATCAAAGCTTGGTAATTTTTGTGTTTGAGACATTTTGGGGAATTATATTACTGGTATACCTTATTGATTCATATTCTTTTGTTTCCAGCAGTATTTCACCTTACCAATTAGGAATTAGTAATTTTGTTCATATATTTCCAAGTACAACTACTGAGGTTGAATGAATTAACATGTTTTTAAATATATTTGGTAGTTTGGATTCAAAATTATCTTTAAATTATTACACATGTAGGATTTAATTGATAAAGCCAGAACGATCTTAGAGGGGAACAGGTCAATGGTGCAGAGGTTGCAAGCATCCACGGGCATTCCTATCACCAGTGAGAGTGATGATCCTGCTTATGTGAGCTTCAATCAGGTAATGTGAGCTTTATATTATGTGATCAGTCTTGATTCACAAGTTAATAAAATGTCTTCCCACGGTTAACCATAGGTCTCCATACAATCAGTGTCATTAGGTCTGAAATTACTTACTGGGGTTTTAAGCTTTAGCTAGGCGTAACTTTGATCTCCATCCAACTGGAAATTCTTTCTAATACATTGTTCTTTTCATTTATACCCCTCGTGCTGTGGGGGTTTGTACTTTGTATAAGAGGCTTACTAGATAAGGGTTTGGGGGTGGTTCCAAAGTTGTATGCTTGCGAGTTCCTGAATGTTACAAGTATGCAGATTGTTGTCCAGATAAAAATCCATACTCCCCCTTAAAAGTTTATGTCAGACTTTTCTCCTTGTGATCTAAAAATGTCTACCTAGTTTAGGTCGTGTGATGTAATTGTTATCAAGGTTTGAACGGTTGCATTTTCCAAAGGTGCCCAAGACTTAAGCATCATTTGCCAGCAAGCAACCAAAATTTAAATGGCGAGGTTGGCTTGTATGGATACGTACCATAGCATAAAGCATTCTGCTTTGGTGCTTTCTATCAGGCTCGCTAAATTTTAACCTTCTTTGTCATTGTTGGTGATGATATTTATGAAGAACTTTGGTCTATTTTATAATCTTTTGACTTTATATGTACAGGTAATTGATGAATGGACAGCTCATGTCAGATCCAGAACTGGTAAGATGCTAGTCAAATTTGTTTTGAGATTGAGGGGTTGTTTGAGCCCCATTTTCTTCAAAAAGTGCATTTTCAAATAGTGTTATGATGGGAAATGTGTGGTTAAAAAATAAGGAAAAGTTTTAGGTTTATGTGTAATATTATTTTATTGAAAATGTGTGGTTGAAATGAGGTCAAATCACTGTTGAAGAATGTATTTTGATGAAAAAAATGGGACTTAAACAAGGGTTGATTTTTTTTCTTTTTTTACCTGCCACCAGAATGTAAATGTTTGTTACTTGTGTATACGTCTGCCAGGGTGATTGTTGCATTACATAAGTTAGGAAGGTTGTGAAAGTTATCGTGTTTCATAATGTTCTGAGAGAAACTTGTGTTAGTTCAATCTCCCTCTGTAGACATGTCTGATAAAAGAATAGGTAAAGCTTCTTCGATTAGCAACACTAGGGACACTTGTACACCAAGTTTTCACTGACCCCTTCTTCTCCATAACAACAATTTTGTCATGCATATCCTTGTTAGAGTTTCAGATTTTGCCAGAAAAACAGGTGCTATTAATATGATAATATTAACTCTTCAAAAAACTGTTATGCAGAGGACGAAATGGAAGTGTCACCCTCGGATAATATCAACCAGTTGTTATTCTCAGCAATCGTCCAAGGTGACTAAATCGTTGACTAGTTTTGTCTCTAACAACGATGATCATATAATCAGGAAATGTTCGAGAGATGATTCTCTTACATGTTTGTGTTAGTTAAATGTATCAAACTACTTTTGTTTGTTCTTTTTCTTACTGAGTTTTATTCCAAGCAAGCGTAATGCATATGTTCACTCATTTTCTTCAGTGAACTCTTAAATTCAGACCTTATGCTTTTTTTCTTTTCAAATCGAGGAATTTTTTGGGAAAGTTAAAGACGTGCCTCACACCTACCGCACCAGCTGATCTTCCCAGAATAGCAAACATGACCATCCACTCACATCTAGACATAGCAATCTCGAAGCTGCCAATACGTTAAGCGCCGGTACATTTTGCCAAGAATACATGAAGCATTGTGGTTAATTACGGTGTATACTTGCTCAGTGTTCAATGAGCCACAAAATGGAAATATAATTTGGTATAGCCTATGAACACTTCAGTGTTCTTGATGGAAAACAATGGTTAATTAGTGACATAATGAAATAATGGAACTGTGTCACGTTTATAAACACAAAACATAAAAGGCAAAAATCATTGTTATAGACTTGTATAAAGTAAATGTCAAAGAGGCGAGCTAAGCTGGCAAATTCCACCACATAATTGATTTTAGGGATTTACTACACAATCCCGGGTTTAAATCTAGATGGAGGTGGCGTGACCTCGGGCCCTGGATCTTGCAGCACATGGGGCCCGTGCATACATAATCAATGGCCGACGTGTTGCCAACACATTGGCCTGTCAACGGGGCTCATCAATGGCCCTGTTTGACTAGCAAATACCTTGATTTTCAATATGTAAACACAGAAATTCAGGTGTTCAATGAAGTAGCAATTTGCACAGTAGCCAGAAATATCATGCTACTATTTGGCAACTAGAGGGTACCTGGGCCATTTCGCACGGAAGCTAGTTCCTTTGCAGCTGGAACAGCATGCAAAACCCTAAAAACATCAAATGAATTCTCTTATTGCTGTGCATATAATCACCTTGAGATTTGGTTGTATGGTAATATTTAGATCCTTATGATTTGCTTGGTAAGTTGTATTATACAGTATTAGACAATACATTAAGAAAAAGAAGCTAAAACAAGTTCATCATATTGTCATGTTCAGTACTGCTCGCTAAACATACTTTCAATAATGTATTTACCTTTCCTGCACATATAACAAAAGCTGTGTTTCTTGAGGGGATATGACACAACATGTTATCGCGATTAATAAAAGAACCAGTTCCACTGCACCATCTTGAAGTAGACATAATGGAACACTCATCTAAGTATCCCTATCATAATAAATTTCCGTTGTCAAAAGTAAGTTATGTTTGTGAAAAGAGTAACACTGAAAATCAAGTTAGGCAAAAATCAAAATAATACTTTTAAGAACAGCCAAACATCATCTCTTTGGACAGCCTAACAACAATCTGGAAAACCCAAATGTTCAACTGTTCAAGACATGAGTTAATTATTGAATAAGCCTACTGCCTATGTCCAAAAAAGTCTGATACCAAACTAGTTCAAGACATGTCAATGACAGAAACATCAATGAGAGATTTGAAGTTGTTCACATGCTCACAATGTACTTAGCTAGTGTGTATATAAAAATGTTGATACAGCTCGTAAGACGCAACGATATTTGTATAGTATCTACAACAAGGCATTCCCGTAACCCAATCACTTTGCATTTCATCACACCTCAACACCCACTATAACAAAATCAATAACAAATATTCATAACGTATAATGAACTCTCACCCTAAAACTAAGATGGAATACCTTGCTTCTCTCTCACATACACACACAAAAACTCGCACGCACTAATTAGTTTGTTTCATTCCAGTGTTTACACTGGTTATTATTGCATATCACTAGTATTTCTTTGCTCGTAAAAGGAGATGAAACTTTAATTAAATAATTTAACTTACTAACGTATATAGAATGTGACACAATCTTGTCTTCGTACAAATTACAATGAAAAAATGTACTAATAATGATTAAGGTCAACTGTGATATAAATCTTTGATCACACTTCAAGCGTTGCTTGATGTTTGGCAACTCGAATTATCATCTCAATTACCTTACTAGCCAATATACTTTTCTCTCACGTCTTTCTTCGTTTATGGTTTGATATTCTGGTATCCCGAGGAACCACTCCATGCTAACGAAGGATATGTCATCCCCCAAGTGAATACTGAGAAAGGTACATTATTAATGTCGAAATCGAAAACCAAATATTTTCTCTTAAATAACATTTTTACGATGGTTAGGCTTAAAAAATAGTTGCCATTTCTTGGTAGCCGTCCAAAACTAACCTCATAACTTACGGCTAAAATTTTACCATTTCTTATCATCACTATTTTCTAATATTAACAACAATGAAAACCAAAAAATGCAGTTATATCCACAACCAAACACCCCCTAACACAAATAATTAGATCTTCTGTATACAGCCGTCAAAAACCTCAAGCAGAAACCTCCTATTATTGCCTGCCGATCGTAAATTCACTCATTCACATATTCCGACACACTCAAAAACACGCTGAGTGTGTGAAATTCTGCATAATTACAGTAATGGACAAGGGAAAAGCTATAATGGGCTCGGGCCGCAGATGGGCTGTGGAATTTACAGACAATTCCACCTCCAATTCTGCTCGCGACATCCCGGATCCCCCTGGCTTCACCCGTGCTTCTCACGACCCGGTAATTGCGTTTGTTTTTCATGGTTTTCTTTTAAAAATATTGAATTTTTGATTGAGGTGTTTATTAGACTTGATTGGTTCTTATATGTAGGATGATTCGGCTGTGAGTAAACAGAAGAAGGATGCTGAAGCAAATTGGAAAGCCCAGGTATTTTTCTCGTAATTTAGTTTGAGATATATATTTTTTCGAATTTATTAGAAGGATTTTGCAATGGAGTATACGTTATATATTTTGAATTTTGAATTGATTCTGATGAAAATTTGAAATCTTGATCTATTAAGAGGCTGAAGTATTATAGTGATCGAACTTGTATTTTACTAGTTGATTTTTATAGAAGTTTTGGTGGAACAAACTGAAGATCTAAAGTTTTGAATTATCAATGGATCATAGAGTAGATATTCATTTTTTTCTTGATTTTTGGGGCGGATTTTAATGTGCATATTTTTCTGGAACTCGTAATCTGCCTGTCACACTCTTTTATATGCTTTTAATGAGTTAATTATACCTGGTAAAAGAATTAAAATATTTTTTATTCAATTAGTTAATATTTATATTTTCGGTTGAATTATTACCCTAATTATAAAGTTATTCACTTTTCAATTTTCTCTTTATAATCTGAGTCAAAATAACAACCTCATGACAAGATGATCTCCATGCTTCTTGTGCTTATAAGTTCAATAAGAAGACACAATTGTTAAAGAATATTTTATGTTCTGAAGAATTCACGAGGAAAGCTCTTTTCCCCTTCTTATTGATAACTTCCGAGGGCATTGTAGTATCATTTGTCCAAGCTCAAGTGTTGTAGGAAGAGTTTAAATAATAGTAAGGTGCAGTTTCAGTTATTTTATAAGTGAATTTGAAGAAGAGAGTTTTTATTGTCTTGATTACGTTTTTTGTGGTTTTCTAGTGATGAGAAGGACCTGCTATTAGCTTCTGTACGGTTTCCTTTTAATTTTGTTTTATGAGGTGAAGGTTTTGCCAGCATCACATTAAATTCTTTATTAAGAACTAGAGATCATATTAAGTCCTTGCTACATTTGTATGTTCGAAGTTTGTCTTTGGACGTTTTGATCTCCATCTGGTTGCTAATATATTTATTTTACTTGAATAGAAAGCATGGGATGTTGCACAATCCCCTTTTAAGAACTTGTGTATGATGGGCTTCATGATGTGGATGTCTGGAAGCACAGTTCATCTCTTTAGCATTGGTATCACATTTTCAGCTCTTTGGCAACCCGTAAATGCTCTTCGAGGGGTTGACAAAGGTGATAGTTATTTTTACGCCTTTCTGTTTAGTTACAGACACCTTTTCAATTAGTGCTCATCTATTTTCACTTCACTTTGATAATTCTTGATCAATTATAGACTCATGTTGCGAGAAGATTTATTGGTTCAACTGAAAGTTGACTTCTACCTTGTCATAGAAAAACACGGCTTAAAAGTATAGCTCAAGTTCTTAAAAGTTGTATTTTTGAGTTTGGAGCTACTAGATCGATCGGGGTATGGAATTTCAAGTATATATTGCTTGTGGATTTTGTTACGTATGTCGCATTTCTATATCCATATACTAATAACACTTCAACCGTCATGGTGTGGTTTCTAATGTTTATGTTTCTATAGGGATTAAACTATGCTAACTATCATTACTTTGATTGACAGTTTTTGAGCCTTATAAGGACAATAGAGTGGATCTCCTAGCGCCTAAATTAGTATTTACTGCCCTTAATTTGGTTGGTTTAGGAATGGGCATCTGGAAGGTTGGTTCCTTTCTAACATTGTGCAAGTCATTGTGACGTTTAGCATAGAATTGCTCTAAAACTAACCGAATTATATCTGTTATTGGCAGCTTAATACGTTGGGTCTTCTTCCAACACATGTATCGGATTGGGTTTCATCCATTGCTCCTGCTCAGGTTCGATTTCTTATTTCATTTATTGCTGTAGATTTGATCTGTTATTAATTTTATTTTTTTATCTGTGGAGAACATAGGATTACTAAGCCAAAATTTTATGCGAACATATAAAATTTGGAGCAGTAATTATGAAATCAAATGTTAATACATCATAACCCTATGAGGGTGGAGAGTTAACAAATCTTTAAAAAGAATTGAGTGATAATATGATCACTAACTTAGCTCTTGTTTGGTAGTTGTTTAATTTATATACCCTTTTGGTCAAACCTAATATTTATGATCTAAACAATTTATAATCACCTACCAAACAAGCTTTTATGCTCCATTGCAAATAAATAAATAAATAAAATAAAATAAAATAAATTATATATATATTATTATTATTATTTTATTATTATTTTTTTTTTGGGGTTGTAATCTGACCACGAAGGTACCCATATGTCTTTTGTTTTCCAAGGAATCTGTCATCCATTTTGATTGAATTTTGGTAACCAAACTTTGTTCTTGAAATTATATGCAACTTGGGGGCTTCGGATGCTAGTGGACAACTGAGGCTTTTCTAAATTGTGAATGTTAGGTAACCCTAGGAAAGTTGAAGCTCTCTGGCTTCGCTTAATGTAGAGGGGACACCATTTTGACGAGGATTTAAAGTTTGTTTATGGCTTCTATAGTTAAAATTGTTGCAAATACGTCTGAGATAGCTCCGTATGCAGTAAGATCGAGTCTTAAGTTCTTGTAAAACCAACCAGCTTCTGAATGTTATTGCTGCCTCGTACCTCCCGTGGGAGAGATGTTGGATGTACAGGGGCAACAGTTCATGTAACAAAAAATGGCCACTTGTCAACTTGATTAATGACTAAAAGCAATCCTTGTTAATTTCTTCTATTTTTGATAATCGCTAGCACACCTTTAGCTTACGTTAGCGTACCTTTCAGCCTTAATAAATGTGTATCTTTTAATGGGTGCTCTTATTGGCTTTTGCTGTATCTATAAATGGTTTGGAAATGGATGAAATTGCATATTTGGGTATGGCTAGAAGCTTCAGAAAATTAAAAAAATTCATATTTCATAGAGGTAAAATTTGCAGCGGTGGACCCCAAATTACATTTTACACTTGGGTCTCCAACTTTTATCTTTGGCATTTGGATAGCCAATTTTTATTTTTGTAGTGATATGGTCATGTTGGATGGTTCAGCTTTGTAACTGAAACCCCTTTTCACTTAACTCGTTTCTTGTTTTCAGGAGGTTGAGTATTCTGGTGGAGGTATTCCTCTTCAATAAGTTCTTTCCAGAGAATTGAGTTTCGAGCAACCTACTCAGTGAAATGTGACTTTGAATTCGGATAAATGTTACTAACTTGTTCCTTGTTATTTTTTTCATTTAACAAAGTTGCGCATTTCTTCTGGCCAATGCTAGATGCTATTAAGTGGCCAAAATGTGTATGATCATGTACGATTTCCAGTTTTAAATGAGGGGTACGAAATTGTAAGTTTATGATGATTGCACGAATATTATGAGTATGTAGCCTAATTTATGGTAGTGATGGCAATTTACCCGCCCCGAACCCGCCCGTGATTTTTTTTTTTTTTTTTAATACTTGGAAATATGAAGATAGAAAATTTCTAATTATTTGTTCATCCAACCCTTAATTTATCATAACTTTGTTACTAATTAGCTAATTGTTTGTTAATTATTTGTTTACATACTTAATTATAATTATTATAACATATTTAGAGTTCATCTATGAAACATATTTTAAAATCATTTTTATTTAAATTTATTTTCTATCACAATTTTTTTAATAACATAATTTACATGTAGACCTATAATTTTTTCATACTTTTTATCCACACATTCTCTAAAAATCATTTTACACTATAAATATTTTTATCTCAAAACAAAAACTTAAATTTACATAAAGTAAGGGTATTCTTTATTAAAAATTTAACTTGAATGTTATCCGTATTTTATTGAACTCGGAATATAAAAATAAAAAAATAAACGGGGCAAGAAAACTACGAACGGGGTATGGGGTGGGAGAGGCGGGGCGACGTCCTGCCCTGAACTCGTCCCGTTGCCATCACTAATTTATGGGGCTTCCCAACTTGTTTTTGACAAAGTTGCCTTGCTGCTTGTGGAAACGGCTGACACAATTGACTGGAACATGTGTAACTCCCGATATCCCTCTCTCTATCTTTCTCTCACTTTTTTTTTTATAATAAAATAAAAATAGACTTGAGGTGTTAAAAAAATAATAAATAACAAATAAATAAAAAAAATAATAAATCATCTTCTTTTTCTAAATTAAGTGAAAATTCTCTTTTATTCAAAATTTGAAATTTGATCGATAAGTCCATAATGATAAACCAATAATTCAAGTGAATATTTTCATATTGAATAAAATTTTAAAGTTCTACGATTTTAAACCATCAATTCAAATTTAATATAAATTGTCAAATATTCGAACACAAGAAAAATTATTAAATACTGTGCACAAAACTTAACATAAAGATGTTCTTTGACAAGATAAAGGAAATTTACAAATTATCATCTCTAGAAATTTTACTTGGCAACCCTATAAGTATCAATCAATCAATCTGTCACACGTCAACACGACCCGTTCTCATTTGAAAAGTTTTGTAAGAGTAAGTATTTTAAAAGCACTCAATAAGAAATACGTGCATGTTCTTGTCAACATGATATAAATATAAAACGGCATAATGTATCGACTTTTCTTAGATTTAAAACAATCTTGTCGCAATATCCAATAGTTTAAGGATTTTTTTTTTTAAGAATTTCTATATCCCATAGAATTTACATATTTGACAAAACAGTCCGTCCTGTAGGATTTAACATAAAAATCGACTATAAGGCCTAAAAGTATTTCATGCCAAACTTTATATAAACATCAAGAAATAATAATTTACTACTTTACATTATGCATTCTTACCTCAATTGATATAAAAAATTCTAAAATTATTCCTTGAGACGATTAAAATTGGGCAGAATATTTGTAAGAGAATGAAAATCCAATTTGTGATATTTTTGAATGTTGCTAATAAAATAATACTCCTTTTTAATGTGTGTATTAACATGTAAAATGTATGAGTAAAGAAAAAAAAGAAACTTCTTACAAGTGTTATATATATATAAGCTTGGCTTACAGGGGCCTGCCAAATGTGAGAGAACGTGGGGGCAAGCCCAACCTTTTTTTTAACGACCATGCTACACTAGTGCAGCCCCTCTCACATTTTGGGGTGAGGTTGGGGTGTTTGGAGGGTATTTTTTAATCATGGGGCCCGTCAAGGTGAGAGAAAATGGGAAAGGAGTTCCTTTACCAGGCCTTTTACAAATCTGATAGAGGAGTATTTTCCTTTTTTTTTTAAGTGGAAATTACACCATTCCATACTTTATAAATTCACAATTCTAAAATCATATGAGTAGTTTAACATTTCAAAAATCAGATACTTTATTTTAATTAAAATTTTTTTAAAATAAATATTTTACTAAATATATTATATACTCCAATAATCAAAACCCTAATTAAATTTCCACATTCTCTCTCTCTCTCTTCTCCGTCGTCTCTCTCTCTCTCTCTCTCTCTCTCTCTCTCTCTATTCCCCGACGGTAAACGAAGACGTCGAAGTAGAGGTGCCTATATCGCCGGTCGATAGTGAGTTGCCCATTGCTTGTATCGCCGGTCGAAAGGTACTTTGCGGCTATAGCTACTTCGTCCTTGCATCGATTTTGCCATGGTGGCGATGCTATGGTGGTAGAGGCGTTTCACGCAGTGAAGGGGATTACGGTTGTTGGCGATGGTGGTGGATCTAATGGGGATGGTGGAACTGGTGGTGGAAGTGAGTTTTGTGGTGGTGTTTGTATTGCGCAGGTGTGGTGCCGTGGGTTGTGGAAGAGGTGGTGGTGCGTGGTTGCAATGATGTGTAGGGACGGTGGTTGGGCATGCTGTTGTGTAAGGGTACGGTGGTATTGGCGGCATGGTGGTTGCTCTAGCAGTGTGCGGTGCTGTCGACTGGCTGTTTTGAGATGGTGGGTTGATCTATGGTGGCAGATTTGATGGTTTGATGGTGTTTTGGCGGAACTGGTGTTTTGGTGGTGGTTAGCGGTGGTTGTGATAGTGGGTGGGGGCGATGGTGAGATGTTGGTGGCTGTGATCTATTGAGGTGGATATGTTGATTCGTTTGACGGTGGTGTTGTTGACGGGTGGTGGCGGCGGCGGCGGTTTTGCCTTGGTGGTGGCGGTTCTGCCTTGATGGTGGCGGTGGTCGTCGCAAATGTTAATGGTGGTCACAGATTATTTGATTGAATGTGACCAGCGAAATAGTTAATCTGTGATTAATAAATAATATGTGACCAATGAAAAAAAATTGTGACCAAAAAATATTGTGTGATCTAAAAAATTAATAATTTGTGATTGTCTTTTAAGTTGTGACTTATAATATTTGTGATCTGTGACTTATAAATTTTTGATTCGTGACCCATAAAATTTTTGATTTGTGATCGAAAAATAAGTTGTGACCAATAATTTGATAAGTTGTGATTAAAAATTAATCGTGACTCGTAAATTTTTTGATTTGTAACCGATGAACGAGATGTGACCTACAAAATTTTTGAATTGTGATCGTAAAAGAATTTGTGACAAAATTTCTTATTCGTGACCAAAAAATAATAAGTGACTAATTAAATTGTTAATTTGCAATCAAATTAGATGTGACCAATAACAATTTTGATTTCGTGACCTATAAAATTTTTGATTCGTGATAAAAAATAATGTGACCTATAAAATTTGTGTTTGTGACTTATAATTTATTGAGTTGTGATCGAAAAATTAATCTGTGACCTATAAATTTTTTGATTCGTGATCGAAAAATAATATGTAACCTATAAAATTTGTGTTTGTGACTTATAATTTGTTGAGTTGTGACCGAAAAATTAATCCGTGACCTATAAAATTTTTGATTCGTGATCGAAAAATAATATGTGACCTATAAAATTTTTAATTTGTGTTCCAAAAATAAGTTGTGACCAATAATATGATAAGTTGTGACTGAAAATTAATCCGTGACTAATTATTTTTGGATTTGTGATCAATAAACAAACTGTGACTTACAAAATTTTTGAAATGTGATCGTAAAAAAATTTGTGACATAAAATTTTTAATTTGTGACCAAAAAATAATAAGTAACTAATTATATTGTTAATTTGTGACCAAATTGTATGGGTCTGTGACCTAAATATATTTAATTAATAAAATAATTAATTAACTAATTAAATTATAAATAATTTTTAATAAAAATCCGATTTTAAAAATTTGAAACTTTTTTTCTTGTTTTTGAAATTTGCCATAATTAATTTTTTAGTTATGAAATTTTTCCTTTTTTTAATTGATGTGGGGCCCGACCCTGTACAGTGAGGGGTCTGTGCATCCCTTGTAAACCGACTTCTATAGAACAACTTCCATTTGCATGCTTATCAAAACAATTATCAATACATTAGGTTGAAAATTGAGTAAGTTAATTAATTTATTATTTATTCCAATCAATCATGTACGGTTCAGGGTGAAATTTCAGAAGGCTGATTAAATGAATTGATTATGTGGATTAATGAATAATTTATGTTTTCAATTTCACTTTATTATTTATTCCAATCAATCATGTACGGTTCAGGGTGAAATTTCAGAAGGCTGATTAAATGAATTGATTATGTGGATTAATGAATAATTTATGTTTTCAATTTCACTTTATTATTTATTCCATTTAATCTTTTTATATTAATAAAATATAGGTTTTGGAATACTATTCTTTTTATCAAAAAAACTCATATAAAATTAGTCCAAAATTATTTCTTCTTGTGCTAATTTATGTTATTTAACATGAGTTACAAAATGAGTATAATATCGATATATTTTTATCAATTTCAAAAATACTTAAATATTTGACTCACATTATTGAAGATAAATTCTAAAAGTACACGTAAGCAAAATAAATTATTTATACGAATAAGTGAGTCACGTTTATTATTTCAACTTTTGGACTTTAGTGAGATGCCATGATTCCTTCAATCTTTGGATGTAATCCTAGTTCGAACCTCCTAACTTTCTTTGGCTCGATGTCCACAAGGTGTGTAGCATATTTAGAAAGTTGTTCATACTTTCTTTCATATTCATCAAACAACATATTTTCTTATTTCAGTTGTAGGAACTTTACCTCTCTTCAATCCCTTTGTGATTAGAGAAAGCATCTTGTTATTACTTCTCATTTGAACTGTGCCCAAGTCATAGCACGTTGTTGTGCTTCCATTCTAGTGCACGAAATAGAATCCCACCAGTAGTTTGCTGGTCCAACTAGCATAAATTCGGCACATGATACCTTCTGCGCATTAGTGCATACTATGTGTTTGTAGATTCGTTCCGAACCCTCTTAATCATTGTTTGGTAGCTAAAGGGTCTGCCTTATCCTCAAAATAAGGAGGCTTGCAATGACGAAACTACTCCACAATTGAACTTATGTTGTTGGTATTTGCCAGTCCATT